ATGGAGTGGATTTGTACTTAACTGCTTGTTCAGTCAACTTGCGCGTTTCGTACAAAGTAGAACAGGTGGAAGCCCGTTTTCGGTCGGCACTCCAAGTGCCCTTCCAGGCTCCTATATAGTTATACTAGAGTCTTCCCCAAAAGCTCTCTTATAAGTACGAAGGCCCTACAGAGCCCTTGATCCAGAAACCTTTCCGACTTTAGCTAAGGCCAGACGGCTAGAAACAGCGAGCGGATTGTGCTTGCTAAAATAAAGACACTCTTCACCAAAGGCCTATTTAATTTCCCTCGACCCCGCACCATCGGCCCATAGGCTCTGAAGAGGAAAGGCTTGATTAGGTTCGGGCTCTGTAGCCCGACGCCCTAAACCTGATTGAAGCCTAAACCCTGAAGCCCTGAACCCTAAACCCCTAAACTCGGATCGCTAAGCCCCGAAATTAAGCCTAAACTCTGAACCCTAAACCCCTCAAACCTGAAGCCCTAAACCTGCAAACTCGAAACCTGCAACCCGAATCCGAGGTATTGGGTGCGGCAGTTTGGATTCGATGGGCCGATCCCCGATGATGCTAAGCTGATGCGCTTTGGGTTTAGGGTTCAGGGCATTTAGGGTTGGGCTTCCGGGCCTGTACAGCTTGGGGCTGATGGGCCCCGTCCCGCATGGCTTTACCATGCCGACTTCCGCGGACTAAAGAAAAACCAAAAACAAAAAAAGGGTCGTTGGAGAGTTCAGGAATCTTCGGGGTTTAGGGTTTAGGGTTTAGGGTTGATGGCATTCAGGTTCTTGTTGTTTTCTGTTTTTTTTTGGAGCTAGGATGTTCAGTGTACTTAGCGTTGTCGGTTTGAGGGGCTTGAGGTTTCAGGCTGTTTGGCTTACATAGTTTTTTTGTGGGCAGGATGTAGAAGGACGCTGGTAATGTAGGGGCCTTGGTAATTAGACTCGGGTTTTGGGGGCTCCTTATCATCATTATAGTATAATATACCCCAAACCCTATTCGAATTATTAAGGCCCCTATATTATCCTCAGCATCACTGCCGTGGTAGCGCGGGTGACGTGGACAAGCGTGAGAGCTTTCACGAGGATAGTGTGTATTCTGGGAAGCATATTGCTCCACATCATCATCATCGCCAGCAGCAGCAGAAGCATCACTCCCGTCGCCGACATGTCGGCACCATTCGTTTTCAATATTGTTATTCTCTCACCCTAAACACTAAACCCTAAACTCGTAAACCGTGCTACTGGTGTTAGAGACTCCGGCTCCATGTGGAGAGCCCGATGGAGCCGACACTTGCTGGCATGCATGCTGATTTCGGTTTCAGTTTGGGATCATCGAGTTTTGCTAAGGTGGTTTGGAATGGCAAACATACATACATGTTTAGACCATTTTGTCTATCTGTCTATCTATCTAGCGATCTGCCCAACGGTATTTCTACGTATCTGTCTGTCTATCTATCTACATATCTATCTGTCCGGAACCTGTGCAAGGAAGTTCCTGAGGCGGAGGAGCCTGCTTTGCGTGGGGGGTGTTAGACTGAAGGGGTCCGGGAACAAAGCCGCAAGGTCATACCCTACCCCTTCTTTGGGGTACCTACTTTTCTGGAGATCCTAAACCCCAACTAGGGACCTTACAAGAAGGGGTACTATTTCAATCTAGGTGGGGGCCATGGGGTTTTCGGTGGTTGAATACTGCCTGAGACCATGCAAGATTATACTGAGTTGGGTACGGATCGTCGTGTTCTGCATGTGTTCCGCAAACTTTACAACAAATCTACATAGTAGGAGGGCGAGAATAAGTACAGTACAATTGCTTTGCTTAGGATTGCTTGATAAAAATATTGTTATAGGAAGCTTTATTCTGAGTAAATCGTCGTGCCCCTGTTCTAGCAGCCGCTCGGTGCCGAAGGAGAAGCAGGGTGCGCTAGACGAGCCTGCCGACGATGTAGCAACTCGTCCAGGAACTGACCTCCGCCGTCTGAAAGAATCCAGAGACTCCAATATCCCTTAATTAAGGAATATACCTTAAATCATATTAGGGATCCTACTATAATTTAAGGTATATTCCTCAATTAAGGGATATTGGAGTCTCTGGGAATCAGCACGGTGTGGGGGCCCCCGACTCCAGTCTGAAACATAGCAGTTACTCCACTGTGACAACCCCCAATCAAACCCACAAGAGCACCAAACCCTACGAATTTTTTCAAAAGCTCGAAATCAAACCCAGAACAGCATCAAAGGATTTCTTAAATGATGAAACCCAGGAGGCCTTATTGTCGTGCGGTTTTTCGGCTGTGACCCTAGGACCGAAGCGGAAAGAATAGGCAGAAGCAAAGCCAGAGAACCAGAAGCGAAAAAACGGCAAAGTGGCCACACCCGAAGCCCGGAAAGCATGGGCAGCGCAACAGAATTAATTCAAAAAATAACGAACCAACGGAGACGAAAGGATGCAGCACCACAAGCCAATAGGACAAAACCGTGTCGGCCAAAAGGAGATGGCCAAGCCAGAACGCAAACTGTGCTGCAAGCCCGTCGTGCTATGTTTCTGGTGTTTTCTCGGGTGGCCTTTCGCACATTCCCTTCCATTTTGGGGTTTGGGGCTTGGGGTATGGTCTGGGTTTTTGGGATTTAGGGTTTCGTGGTTAGGGTCTCGTGGTTAGGGCTTAGGGTTTAGGGTTTAGGGTTTCGGGTTTAGGGTTTACGGTTGAGGGTTTAGGGTTTGGGGGTTCAGGGTTTAGGGGGTTCAGGGTTTAGGGGTTTAGGGTTCAGGGTTTAGGGGTTAAGGGACACGCCAGAACCCTGGAAGGATCAAGGCGAAGCCTGCTGCCTGGACCTAAGCCCAACAAAACCTCCTAACTTCT